GCCAGAACCACTGAGCTAAATCCCCGGCCCGTATCTAGTAATTTTTTTATATCTGCTATTCAGGTCCTCATTTACATGAGAGAAAAGTTTAATATTTTGCTTCATGATAGTCTTACACATGAGTTACAAGCCATCAACTATTATGTATTAGAAGCACAGTTTTATTCAGCTTGCTGCATCAAGGGAAAATCTGTCCCAGAAAAAACTATGGGAACATCCTATTAAGGGAGTTTGGAAGGGCTTGTCATAAGATTGAGGCTTGTAGGGGACCAATCAAAGGAGAATTAAAGGAGCAGAGGCCGCTGCCCACCCCCATATCCGGGATCGAACTCAGGACCTTGGGCTTGTGAGGCAGGTGCAGTGCCACTGAGCTAAATCCCTAGCCCATAGAGGCCACTTTTATATTCTCAGTTAAAAATTATTTGCTCAAAATGATAATCTTGTTTTGTATGTGAACGATTCCTTGCTTAGTTTTACCCAGTAACAAGTGATCATTTCTGTCTAGCAGTGCACAAGGGGAAATAGGATCTCCTTTCAGTGCTGTGTTTCTATGCATGTTAGTGTAATCTTTAAGTTTTTGTTTTTGTTTTTTCCCTCTAGCAAAATCCATTATATAATTTGGAGAGATGCAAGGTATTCCAGTGTGATCTCACTAAAGATGACCTTCTGGATCATGTACCACGAGAGTCTGTCGACATTGTCATGTTGATATTTGTGCTGTCAGCTGTTCACCCTGATAAGATGCACCTTGTCTTACAAAACATTTACAAGGTTAGTGATTTGGGGCCTGTGCTTAAGACGTGCTCATCCCGATCCCCTTCCTTACCTTCCCTCTGAGACAGTCAAGAGTCTCCATTCTCAGTAGGTGTCTGTGCAGTCAGTATGTGACATAGGGTTTTCTTGTATAACATATCCACTGTAACTTCGGATTTGTGCAGTGCCTTGACTGTTCTGCAGAGCTTGACCAACCTGCGAGCAAGGATGACGTTGCAAGAATCTGTAGTCATTTTGTAAGTCATTATCGTTCAGTAGTCAAGAGCGCAGTCTGGAGTGAGAGCACCTCAGTGCAAAACCTGGCCTCCCCATTTAGGCAAGTACCTTCAGAAATTCAAGCCTCAGCTTCCTTACCTGTAGAAAGTGCTTACCACAATGTCTAGAACATGGTAAGTGCTCTTCACAAGTCAGTTATCCCTGGGTGTAGCGATATAGCCCTGTAGTCCCAGGAGGCTGAAGTGGAATGATCACTTTAGTCCAGGGATTCAAGACCAGACTGGGCAAGATCACAAGACCCTGTCTCAGTCAGTCAATCTCTCTCTCCCTCCATTTCTTTCTTTCTTTCTCTTTCTGTCTGTGTGTATTTTTTTTTTCTTCCCCCCATAGAATTGAGATCATGCAATATTTAAAAATAAAAAATTTTAAAAGCCATTATTGTGTTGCTACTACCATGATTACTGTTACTAGAATGGGGAGAGCTCAACGTGCTCTGGCTACCAGGAAGCTGCTGTAGCATTTGGGAAGTTAGAAACCAGAGCTTCACTCATTAAGTCATATGATTCCTTCAAGCTACCTCACCATCCATCTCTGAGACTCAGTTTCCTTGTCTGTAAAATGGGAGTGTCTCACAGGGCTGAAGCTGAGGTCATAAATGGGGATGTTTTCTAACCTACAGTGGAAGCTCTCTATGTAAATGATTTTGGTTAATTTTAAAATAATTGAATCAAAAAATCATTAAAAATGGTACATTCGTACCTTAAAATATGTAAGTATTCATTTATTCATTACACTTTTGATGTAGGGCTAAGGCCTTTTCAGTGAGTATAGGATTATTGATTATAAACCACACGTGGTAAAGTTTTAACTTCTCTAAAGGTAGCATAAGGAGCTGGAGGTATAGCTCACTGGTAAAGCACTTGCCTATCAGTGTGAGGCCTAGTGGAACAAGAACTTAAAAATAATTGGAAAGTTATATGAGGGCAGATTCTTTTAAATTCTTATAGACTTTCCTGTTTGAGTTTCACAAATAAAAGGAATTTGTTCAGCACTTGTTTATCATGTTCAGCTTACGTGTATGTGTGTGTGTGTATCTGTTTCACTGGTATTGAACCCAGGGACTTTGCACTGAACTACATCCCCAGCCCCGGCCCCACCAGCCCTTTTTTTATTTTTGAGATAAGATGGCTCTTGCTGGGCCCAGCCTCAGTGCTCCTGCCTCAGCCTCCACTGTAACTTGAGATTATAGGAGTATACCACCACACCCAGCCTCAACTTACTTTTTATTAAAAATTTAAGTGCTTTCTATTCATGTTCATATTTCATTATTATACACTAGTGATGGCAAACCTTTTAGAGATTGAGTACCCAAACTGCAACCAATACCATGGGAACTAGGTGAAGATGGGGAAAGCAAGCTTGTTTTTTTGGGTTTTTTTTGGTACCGGGGATCAAACTCAGGTCCTTGCACTTGCACAGCAGGCGGCGAAACCACTGAGCTAAATCCCCGGCCCAGCAAGCTTTTGATCATAATGGAAACAACTTGCCCTTTGAATTACATAGACTAACAAATTTTGTGGGTTTCTGACTATTGAAAAATAAATTTTCTAGTTCTGATTGTATTCAAATGAGGCTCTGTAGTAAATAGAGAATCTCCCTTTAATTTTTTTCCCAGTTACTTACTGTAATGCTGTTGTACTCTTGCAAGGACTTTCAGTAAAGTCTTGTAACTGTTTAATGTGTTAATATAACCCTAATTTTTTAAAGGCTATATTTGAGAGTCAAATGCCAATGCTGCAATTAAACCTGAATACTGAGGTTTTCGGTTTTTTTTAAAAAAACAACTCCTACAACTTGTGACCATCATAGAGTGGGCTCCGCATGCATGCTGTGGCATGCATGCCATAGGTTCACCATCACGGTTATATACTATTTTAATTAAAATGCATCATTACAATTCAAGTACTGGCACAAGCAAGTTGGAGAACAAGATAAGTGACTGACTAGGTATGCAGCTCTCCAAAGGGCACTGACGTGCAGACGTGCATCATTTGCAAGGTCGATAAGCCTCCACCATTCAGGGAGTCATGGGCTTCAGTCAGTCTACTTTCAGAAAACAAGCTAAAAAAGTAGATTTTGGGCAAGAGTGCTTCTGTTCATTCAGAGCTTTACATTAAAGTTCAACCCTGGTTTTACTGTTTTAAAATAGTAAGGTAGAAACTGAGACGCTGGAGACCTCTTAGGGAATTATTCTCCCTTAAAACAGTATTTTAAAAAATTTAGATCATGCCACACTGGTTTGGCCCTTTGCTTGTGAGTTTTGTAAAGCTTTTATCTTTTCACTTCCACTCTCTACCTCTCAGGTCTGAGGAAGTGAGAACCTAGCACATACCCACAAAAAGGCATGGAACTTTTAACTGGATAAAGAGAAGAAAAGGAGTCAGAGAAGAGAGATTAGGATCACCTGATTTGGAGGTCCAGGCGAGGGAAAAGGTTTATTAAAGATGAACTAGAGGAGCTGAAGAGATGGAGGAGGGAGGACAGAGAATGATATGTCTGACTTTGGGAAGAGATGGAGAGTACAAAGGGGTTCTATTTCTTAGCATGAGAAGGTTTTAGGGCTTTACCATGATAAGTAAGATAGAGTGTAGGTAGGGTGGAGGACAAGATTTTTTTTTTTGGTACTGGGTGTCAAACTCGGGTCCTTGTGCTTGCGAGGCAGGCATCGGAACCACTGAGCTAAATCCCCAGCCCAAGATCTTTGGAAGACAGAAGATCAAATTATTAAGAGACCAACATATTTGGAAATAGTGAAATTGAAGTTAAAAATGAAATAACATTCAGAATAGGACAGTAAACCAGAAGATACATTCTTCACAAGATGGGGAGAAAGTACTGTACTATATTGTAAAAGGGATTTTAGCAGAGACTTTAGTTTTTGGGGCAAGAGGAAAATAGGAATGCTGAGCTGTTTACTTCAGGTGGAGAATCCATCTTCAGACCTTTGTACTATTTTCTTTCAACGCCAGTGTATAGAAAAACCCAAACTATGACCTCAGAGCAGAGTATTAATGAAAAACACACACACACA